TACATGCCACTTTAACCGTAACACTTGAGCGCGGTGGCAGTCACAGCATCGCCAATAACACGACATACTCGATCGTGACTGGGATTATGCTCTGGTGTGGTGCTTTTTGTTGAGAACGTGACGAGGCGTTGTCGAATGTCGATGATAGCACCGTGCTCTCTCAGGAAGTCCATGCCAAGGATCAGGTTTCGAGAACACTGACGGAAAACGCTCAAGATGACAACGAAGGTAGAACCACGAATCTGTATTCGTGCTGTGCAAACGCCGAGTGGCGTGACGATGTGTTCGCCAGCAGCATGAATTGGCCTGAGGTTCCAAGGCATCGTCACTTTCTTCAGGAGAGCAGCCTGTTTTTCACTTATTATAGAAAAATCTGCACCCGTGTCAACTAAAACACTAACTTTGCGACTGTCAAGCAGCACTGGAATGTCTAATGAAATCTTTGCGGAACCAGCTGGTGTCGTCGCCGGGGAATCGTCAGTTTGTGGAAGCGCCGGTAAGAGGCCTTGAGCTTGTCCAGTATGAGCGGCCTCACCCCCGAAGGTCGCTGTGGTTAGTTTTCTCGGCGTGGACTGGTTGACCGACCCTGCGCCACGCTCAAATAGGTACGGCGTTTACGAAAAAATCGCCGCGGTGACAGGGAGCCTTACTAGTGCAAGGATGACGAAGTTCCGCACTGCTGAGCCACATACTCTTCAATTTCAGGGGGCCGCTGACCGAACCTGAATGACGGTGAGTTCGTCGAAAATCCGCGTAGTCCAAGTTGTCGGTAAGAACACTGTTGGTACAGATGCCCAGCTTTGCCACAGTGGAAGCAGAGAGGACGTCGATCTGGCGCACGCCAGACGTTTGATTTCCGCGAGATCAGGCAAGGTGCGCTGTAATGTGGCGCCGCTTGGACCGTTCGTAGCATGGCTGGGGCCACAGTGGGATGCGAAATTGCAGGTGTAACAGGTTGCTGCAAAGCTTGAGCATACGACATGCGCGGCAAGTCACTGGGTGGTTGATAATCTCGCATGAAAGGCGGTTCTCCTAAGGCATGCTGAACTTCATCTTGGACAACGCTGGACAACGAGGAGATAGTGGGCTGCGAGGGCACTGACAGCTTCTAGAGTTTTTCGCGGATGACTGAATGTATGAGCTCACGGAAGAAATCCATTTGGCCACCGAAAGCTCCCAAGTAGTCCATAGTTGAAGCATTGACATGCAGTTCCTATGACGGGGCCCGGTGCCTGAGTGCTTTCGATCGTGACGGCTTCTGAGAGAAATTCTGACACACTCTTGGGTGGACTCCGCACAAGCCCACCGAAAAGATGCTCTTTCACCCCGCGCATGAGGCATCATAGCTTCTTTTCTTTTGGCATGCCGGGGTCAGCTCAGTAGAAAAGACGCGTCATGTCCTCGACATAAATCGCAACCCCTTCATTCGGCAGTTGTGTGCGGCGGGACTGCAGATCGCGCTCAGCTCTCTCCCGACGGTCAGGGCTGCCATATGTCCCAAAAAGTCGGCGTTTGAAGTCTTCCCATGACGTAAGAATACCTGCCCGGTTCTCATACCATACACGTGCGCCGTCCAAAAGACTGAAATAGACGTGCCAAAGTTTGTCTGCGTCGTCCCCCTGGATGTGCACGACAACGAACTTGTAATGAACAAGCCAATCTTCGACATCCCCAAGTGCAGCGTCATGAAAGGGATTTGGCATTCGCGGTGTGAGTAAGGTGCAATGAAGCGGCGTTGTGCCGTTTGTACTGATTGGGTTGGTGTCGGTGGGGCTGGTCGGGGCTGCCATGTTGTTTGCGAGCAGTCCAAACTCAAGAAATTGCCCTTGAATTCTTCTGCTGGCACGTAGGACAGGAGTGACCACCGGTAAGACGCTTGTGTTCTTGCTATGCGGAGGGGTACAGTGCATAGATTACCCAGCTCCTCCACCAGTTTGTCATGCACCAAGAGCCGTAGAGAGAAGACAAGAACAGTGGGGCAGAAAGATACGAGCATGTATCTTCAAACGAAGCGCTAACGCACACACTTCTTCGTTCTCTTTGCCCTTTTTGGCTCGTTAAGGCTTGCCGGCTCACAACTCTAGGTGGTAATATATACAGTCAAACCTCATTATAACAAAGTTGAAGGGGAAGCCGTAATTACTCCATCATAACCAATAGTTCTTTATAGCCAATATCCATTTCTACCATCAATTACCCAGCAAAAAAGAATGTACAAACCAACGAATATCACAGCAGCCCGCCCAGCAGAGAAAAACGGCCTTTGGAAGGCAAAAAATAGCAAAATAACAAAGAACAATGCCCCTTATTTCCTCCAAATTCAGCACACCAGCTGGCAGATCACTTTGAGGAAAAACAGTCTTTAATATTATTGACTTTGCTGACTCTTCTTCACGCGGATGACTGCTTTTTCAGCTGCAGCAGCTATTTTGAGTTCGTCTTCACCGTCATCGTAAGCACCAAAAAAATGGCACAGCAGGTCTGCCGCATCCAGCGCTTGCGCGGGCATCGATACGTCGAGTTCGCCAACATTAGGCTCAAAGATGTCGACACATTCATCACTGTTGTCATGCACGCCCATCACCGCGGGCACAGTTTCCGCATATGACAACTCTTCGGTTGTCACCGCGTCACAATCGGCACCGACGTACATGCAAAAAGTGTTGCAGTCAGGCATAACGCCGGTGTCAAAGAGAGCGTCCCGTAACGTCTGTGCCTGGTCGCCCGGGGCACCAACACACCGCCGAAATCTTCGAGCACTTTTTTTTTTCTTGATGCCAGACTCAAGGGCTTTCAACATTGCCGATTTCTGCTCGACTGATATTTTTGCTCTTACGTTTAGAATGAAGACTTGCCAAATCCATGTACTATGCATCATTGCTGTGGTTACTGAACAATCGCACTCCCAGAATCCCCCCTAGTTAATTAGAGGAAATTCTATGGTATTGACCAGTTGACTTTGAGCGTGATCATGCTGCATGAGATGTATGGAAGGACGACAAGCCAAGTTCCTAAAGTGCAACACATTCAAAGCCCTTATTGTGGAGGTTAAAAGCATTTATGCACTCCTGCGATGGAGCTAGCCCAGCTTCAAACTAAAGGCTCTCGCCTTGTCAGGATGCTAATTACCTTTCCTTCTTTTTTACAGTTCTTACCTCACTTTGGTTTGCAAGCAATAATGCCAATTACACTTGGGTTGGCATAAGCTCCAGATTCTATGGCACCATTTATGCAGTAAGCTATGCACCCACACAATAATATGCATGTGTAATTCTCCAACACCAGGTAATGGGTAGATCCAGATGAACTGACCCTCACACCTCTTTTATTTTCTAATGTATATGTGGAACACTGGCATTATTGGGAACGTTAAGCTTTAGGTATCACATCTTCCATATACTAAGCCTTCAAAAGAATCCTGTATCCGCCTCAGCGCCGGGTGGAATATGACTGGTGCGACTACTCCACTTACACAAATGCTGAAGGCATTACCGTATTTACTCGATTCTACCGCGCCCTAGATTGTAACGCGCACTCGGTTTTCACGACTAAAAAAAAAAAAAAAAAGTAAGACATCGATTGCAGCTCGCACCCATTTTTCTCGTTGGCCCGCACAATCACACTACTCGGGAAAACGACTCCTTTTGGGAGCGTCTTCCGTTTAAATATGAGGTATGGGGGAAGCTTGTAACAGAGCATTGCCGTCACTGTAGTTTTACCGTGGACCCATGTCAGCAGGCGAACTTCCTTCGCCCCCTTTTTCTCAAAAATTGTGGTGCCAGGCATGTCGAAGTAAAGAGGCGTCTGATCGGCATTCCCGATTTGCCCAAGGAGGTAGCCGTTGTTGTGCCGCAAGTTTAGGACGAACCTCTGAAAACTGTGAAGCTTTTCATCGCACTCCTTCGCAAAACTTTTCGCATATGCCCGTTCACCTTCGGAGGGAAAAGCCTTTCCTCTTCACAAAGTTAGTTAGCCAGCACCTGCTCGCTTTAAACTGGCTCCGCGTTAGAACTTTTTCTAAGGCGGAGCATAGTCCGCACTTGGAGCAGTTCTGTCGTCACGGGCCGCTGTGCCGCTCTCTGCTCAAGCACATACTTGCCGAGACGTTTTTCAATCTGTGGAAACCGACCCTGCTGTGGTCCACTGAAGCCTTTGCGTGAAGCTTTGCTGTCGACAATCTTCTGCTTTTGTTTCCGCCAGTCCCGCATGCACGTTTCGGGAACTCCGAACGACCCCGATGCGGCCCGATTTCCGTCCGTTTTTGCACACGCGATGACTTTTCTTTTAAAAGCGGCATCGTGGTGCACTCGAGTTTTTGGTGTCGGCCCTTTCATGCTGTCGATGCTAATGCACTACAAGATGACGAACTCCTCAGCCCACGTACTAAGTGCCGCACATGGGAAACGCATAGGCAGAAATGGCCGACGCGCCATGCCGACGCATGTAGGTGGCCGTTTTAGAAATGCCGATGGCAATAGAATGACCGTATTCATTTTTTTTTCGTACTCGATTCTAACGCGCATGCGATTTATGAACTCTTAAAACCGAAAAAAAGTTGAGCGCTAGATTTGAGTAATTACGGTACATGCGCTTTTAAGGAGCAACAGCGGAGAATGAAAAAACTTCATTATATTGAGGAATTCCTTATATGGAGGTTCGTTATAAGCATGTTTAACTGTACATTTATTCCCATGTTTGTTACTATGTTGTCACTATGTTACTATTCCCATGTTGTTCTTCCTTGGGCACTCGTTAATACAGCCGTCTTTCCTAATTAATGATTCATATTGGTCCCAGACAAAAATTAGGGCTTCCACAGCAGTGTGGATATGGGTCCAAGATGCCTGTCACAAATTTTTCAAGATCAATGTCTGAACTCCCATAAGCAAGGTCAAGAAAAGCATTTCTTGGCATTGCATTCGAATTTTGAGCTTTTAATCTCTGTGTGAATATGACCTTCTCGAAGAGATGGCTGCATCCACCCGGCCATTTAAACTGACCTGTTGATGTCTTTCTTGTAGCGATCAGACAGGAAGTGCAGAGCTAGAGGAATGGTGTTGGCCAAACACTGGAGCGTCGCGTTCATGTAGCACGTGTTGCCCAGGTTGCGAAGCCCCGCTGAACGCTGGAACTGTCAACGAGATCACCAAGAGAAGATGAGTTACATTTAGCCAATGCAATGTCCATTGAAAGAAATTAAAGCATGCACTGCCCATCCAGTGTGCACCCAAAACAAGCACTCGCTTTTAATTAGTGTCGCACATACAAGTTCGAAGCACAATTTTACAAGTGCAGGGTACTGCACAGAACCGACCAGATACTAGCTAGATTAGAGAAATCATTGAGGCAGCACAAATTTAGGGTGCTAAAGACCTACAGGTTAGTATGGCATTAATAAATACTTCACAGGCAACTTGTATTTCTGAGAGTTGATCTTGCATGAGTTTAACAAGTCCCATGAATGTAGGTCATGAAAGTACTTATGAAGAAAATAAATAAAGAAAATGGGGACAAACACAGTCATGGGCCTTTAGTGAGAGCATTGTGTTTGAGACCCCTGATGTAAAAAGTCAAATCTCATTATTCGAGCACGCTTGATTCAAACTTCCGATTATTTCAAACTCACGCTGCAGTCCCATCAGATCTATGTGTATTCTGATGGGCGAAAACGCCCTGTAATTTGAACGCGCAAGCACTTGCGATGGTTAATTCGAACATACCGCGCTCCAAAAATGCTCTCAGCGCCATGCCCAATCCCACGGCGGCACCTGCGACACCTCAACACTGCCCGCGATGAAGGAAAAGAAGAAAAGGAAGGAAAAGACTGGGGCTGAATGTTTGCTTTCTCTCAAATGCCGATCTGCGATGCGCCTGTGCCCCGCTTATGTAGAGACCCTTCTCCTTTCAACGCTGCGTGCGAAGAGAGCAAAAAATGAATAAATAAATAAATAAATAGGTTGCGGTGAAGCATCGGTTCTCTCTCAAATGCCGATTTGTTTCTCTCTGCGTGGAGATGCTCTTCCTTTCTCGTCATGTGCTGGTCACGCTGCGGCTGCGGCGCAGAGGGTAGCTGCGGAGACGCAGTCGTTGTCGTCTTTAGAAAGTGTCGACGCTGAACATTGCCACGCGCAACTTCTTTTGCCAGGAGAATGCGGAAGCCGAAGGAGAAAGGCTTTGCAAACTGTGTGTGAAATTGATTTACTCACCGCAAGGCAAACATGTGCAGACGCGCATTCTCGATTACTTCCATTAGTGACGGATGTCTTGTGATTTGTGAATAAATGTAAGTCTTCTGAAACTTCCCCCTCGTGTGTTAGCTCAATGCACATTGCTACTGCATGGTGAGCTCTCTGTTCATTTAGCTTTCAAATAATTCGAACTTCTTGTAATTCGAAAAAACTTTCGGGCCCCTTCGAGTTCAAATTAACGAGACTGAACTGTATTTCAAAGATTCTTGAGGTGACAGTAAAAAGAAGCAAGGTTTACATCACAATGACGCCTCAGTGCCTTTTCTAATGACTCAATCTCTTTACAGGTCAAATCTGCAGCTCACAAAGTTCAACGAGTGTGATTGAGTTACATCTTCAATAAAAGCAATGATACAGGCAATGCCACATATACTAAACTAGGTTATATCGAATTATTGACTATCTTGAACAGTTGAGAAATCCCCTTGAATTTCCCATGCAAAAGCATGAGACTGGTGCAGGCGCGTATCGAACTCCCGCACAGCGGGACATTCGCTATATCAAACTCTGTGTTGCGTCGAAGCCCGAAAAGTAGATTTATTTTAGCAATCATTAATAAATTTTCGCTCGCGTTCTAACAAGTTCCGATCCTTTTTTTCATGCAGGCGACGACAAAACGATGTAGTTAAAATGCGAGACAAAAGTTACCAAAAGCAGCGGCTGCCAAAAAGCAACAAGTGATATCGATATTGCCAATATTTCAACCATTAGTGACGGTGGGAACTAGGTGTTGTCGTTGGCGCCTAGTGGACTTCAGTATTTCTCGCCTCATTCCTGATAAATTCTCATTCAGGAGTTGAACTGAACATTGACTCCCTTGTAGAGATAAAAATTGTGACTGGCACTTGGAGTGATGTCGAAAAAGCTCTGCCGTACACTTTCCTTGCGGGCTAGGTGACGACTTTGGGTGCATCATGACCGCTGACGAAGGCGTACGGTGCCTCAGTGAATTCTGCGACTTATTAGCATTTCCGAGCACCATCTTGAACCGTGAGCGACTTCGTCGGTGCAGATGACGATGCAGCTGCTTCTGAATGAATTGATGCTGAAATATTGGCAGCTGTTCCCGGTGCCGCGCAACTGTAGCTGTGCGGTCATGAATGTGTCAACGCATTCGTTGTTGTCGCTAACCAACCTTTTGCTTCGCTACAAAGCTTGCATTGGCGTTCTGCATCAATCAACGTTGTTGTGGCCAAAGGAGCTAAATTCGCTTATTTGAAAAGCTTCAATGATATTCAGGATAACTGGAGCTTGACGGCATGCAACAATCAAGACAAGCTTAGGCACTACCTTTATGCGAAATGAAGTGGGGTAACTTGCATTACGCACCTTTTTTTCATTGTACTGTGATTGGATCGCTTTGTTAGGTTTTCTAACAATTTCTGAGGCCTGAAATCATTCAATTTATGCCTTAAATACACATATTTTGTATTTTTAATTTTCGGTATATCTGGGATCGACTGTATGAACAAAGTGACTTCTCTGCAATGAGGATTTGCTGTATCCATAAGAAGGTAGGACCCCGTAACAGTGACCACATCAATAGCAAGCTCACCTCACGGCCAGACGATGGGCTGTTACTCCTTATGCGGGGGTAGATCCCATCGCCGGTCCTTGTTCGTTGCTGGTGAGTTATGAAAGCCGTGTTCGTTTCGACGCTGCAATATAGAAAATTTCCCAAGCCACAGCAAAGCCTCATCAAATGCACTGCCCACATTTGTAACACGCATCCAAAGACTCAAAATGGCAAGGCGCGAGAACCGAACGAGAGCATAAATTACAAAATGCGCTTGTTTCATGCATTGTTCTCTTATGTCTTCACAATAACTTGGGCATACAGGTTCGTTTTTTAATTTATTCATTTATTAGGTGAAACATAAAACCAGATACTGTATAGACCACTTATAAGTAGCGGGAGTCACAAATATGCGCCCTATAAGCCGCACCGTAATATAATCAGGACAATATTATTCAAGGGCCACAATTGCACAAAATGTGTTGAGCAAGCAGCCTTGCGTGTTCGAGAATTGAAGCATTCAATGCGTGGTGCTTACTACCGATAAATTTCCGAATGTCAAAAAAAAAAATGTAACATCAAAAGACTTGCATTGTCAATGACATGAACACAAAAAGGCGGTGGGTGGGGGGGTGCAACAAAATAAAGTACTATCGCGGAAATTCGACGAATATTTCTTAGACTGCCTCGATTGTGCACATTACACAAAAAGTCGAATTTCGTCTAGAATTTCGCGCTCTGAAAGACCCTATCATTTGATTTAATGAGTATGCACCGGACTTCAAGATGTCGCAATCGAATTTGAACTACTATTCATGCACTACATGTCCCACCCTCATGTCCATTAACAATATGTATCCCTTCCCCTGAAGTGCAAGCACCACGAAGAGTTTAGTTGACTTTATACCAAACCGAAACTCAGATTGCACATAGATCGCCACCTAGTTTGTTCGATATATTGTCGAGGAAAGTTTGTCTAAGACATAAAGATCCGGCGTCGAAAATATCGCACTCAAGCCTTTAACCAAGAACAGCATGCGTAGTACTTAGTTCACGTTCGCGGCCGAGAGATCAACAATGAAAAGGTAGGTAAGTAAGAAACTTTAATGATCTATGAAAGAATCATTTGAGGGGGGGTGTGGGAGGGGAAGTGGAAGCAGGGTGATGACGGGCCCTCGGGCCGCTTTAGGTGAAAACACGCCAAGCTTGCGTAAGACAGCGCACTGGCAGCAAAGGCGAAAGCTGGTGTCATGAAGCCACAAAAGGTTTTAATTTTACGGATGAGGTAGCAAACGCGATATCTGTAGCAAGCAAGAAAATGATGACGCCATTCCCAAAAGAAAACTGCTAAGCGCAGTTTATAAGGGCAGGTCCACACATGCCATGTTGAGCTGCAGGCAGCTGGAGACACCCTAGTGACACTAGTACACTGTAACCGCGTCAGCGCTGATGCAAAGGCTTATCCTTTGTCGAGGCAATCACCCTTCTCCTTTACTCGGCGAGTTTGCACAGTGTGCCACTGTCTTTTTTTCTTTTCTTTTTCTTTTCTAAGTCCTTCATTCACTCCCTCCGCTTCCCCTGCTCCTGCGATTGACCTCATCGATTGCTCCCCAGCGATGCACCCAGCGCGCATTCTTTTAAACGCGCATTAGATACCGCATGTGTCACAAAGATCTTTCAGCAATCGCATTATAACCCGTCTTTCATCTGAGGGGTCAGCCATTACCTAGCTGTTATTTTTAACAATAATATTAATTTTCAGGCAGCTTACCTCTGTGATGGCTTTAGGGAGCGGTCAAACTGCGGTGCTGCTGCGCTGGTGGCTGGGCCCATGGATTCCGAGGCCGACTCTTCAGAGGCCATGGACAGGTTGGGAAAAGAACGCGATCGGGAGAGGTTGTTGTTGCTACGCATCGACGCACCCGGCCTCTCCACAGGAGTAGTGGCAGTTATTCCTTGGCTCTTCAGGTCTGCGCACACAAGAGAGATGCCATCAGCAATAGCATATAGGAAGGGCTACGCAGGCTACTTGGCGAAAACACATCATCACACAGTACAAAACAAGATGTGAGGGTTCTATGACAATCATGAAACTAAATAGTTATTGCGCACCTACAGGACAGATATGCAGGTGAGCACATCACAGTAGCTTTGAACAATACGAAATGAGATGGGAATGAATTTGTGCAATGCCAATGACATTTAACGACACGTGAAACAACATACATTACAAAGTGAACCGGATGTGAACCTTGTCGTGGTACATGTTCCATTAATCTACCCTGCTTGTTGCGACTGCATTGTACCAGCAACATTTGTAATCTCACTTGCCGAGCTGACTTTACGCCTCCCTCTCATGTGCTTGCCTTCTCTGGCGATCAGTTTGATACTCTAGAAGACCTGCAGTTATCTTGCTTTTGCACTACATGCCATGTGTGTTTCTTCTTCTTGATTGAAACTAAGCTGTGATCAACACATATTTGTTCCCTGGCCCACTCTGTCCTCTTCTTGTCCCTTAACGTTACAACTACCATTTCTTATCACACAACATGATGAATCATCCTCAATCGATAAGGCTTTGAAGAATGAAAACTTTACGATGTAACTCTTCAACGAAACTCGCAAACAGACCAGAAGGACTCTCATAAGCGTTCTTCCTGTCTGCCTTTGGTTTTCGTCTATGTGTTCGCATAATCGATTTTTCACTCTTCCGAGCCTGAACGTGTTTCACCAACCAGCACAACAGTTCGTGCCTTCTACAGCCCACAACTGAACTTGTCACATGCAGCAGTGAACTACCCAGTCCTGAAATGCTCCCAAACTACCAAAGCAGACAACGATCATAGAGCAAAACAGATTGATGAAAACAGCCAAAAGCATTATTTTGTAATGCATACTTCAGCATAAAAATACGGTGATTCGTGACAGCTTTTCACAGTTTTGTAGCAATGACGAGAAAACAAGTGCAAAAGCTGGTGATTGACTTTGTACGGATATAGCAAAATTTAAATAACAAAAGGCCAGTCATGTTAAATTGACAAGTGCATCAAATGCATCTTAAAAGTTGCAAAGAGCAAGACATAAAATTAATGCCACAATAAAACACACAAAACAAACTTGGAGAACTGCCATTATGACAGAGCTGTGGCTTTTAGCCAGCAGCAGAGCAGTTACTAATGTTAGAAGAACAGACTGCTAGTATTTGTACTAACTTGAATACCTTTATGGCGGAAATGCCTAAAAAGGCAGAGCCTCAGGAGAAGGTGAGTATGAAGAGAGAAAGAAATCCTGAACACGAAGTGTTGTTGAAGCTGTTTTTGGCACCTATAACCTGCTTATTTGTCGTACAAGTATAACAACTCCTGCACCAGCATACGGCTTCATTTTTATTTAGAATAATATCTTTTGAAATGACATTCGCTACATAGGTGACATATTAAGTACCGTAATTACCCAAATCTAATGCACACATTTTTTCCAGTTAAGCGAGTTCATAAATCACATGCACGTTAAAATTGAGTGCAAAAAAAAAAAAATGAATACGGTCATTCTATTGCCATCGGCATTTCCAAAATGGCCGCCCCCTACGTGCTTCGACATGGTGCGTCGGCCATTTCTGCCTATGTGTTTCCCATGTGTGGCACTTGGTACGTGTGCCGAGGAGTTCGTCTTCTTGTAGTCCGTTAGCATCGACGGCATGGAAGGGCCGACTCATGGTAGCTACAATACGTACTTACCACCTGTCGAACAGCAAACAAGAATTATTTCTTGGAAAAGCAAGACATATGAGTAGTATCTGCAGCAACCCAAAGAAAACATTAGTTGAAAAAGAAATGTGCGCGTTGCTCTTAAAAAAGCCTCCAGCAAAGTATGTATATGAGATAGAATATCAGAACTAGCTAAGAAAGTTCTCCAGCACAGCCCAACCAGTTGCTAGCATTTTTAATGCAATACTACGGTGCTCCCCACCCTAAATAACATCACCCACAAGTATTACTGAATATTACCAAGCAACGAGCACCTTAGACCATGTATCGCCATAACATATACAGTCAAACACGGATACATCAAACTCGAAGGGGATCGCGAATTAGTTAGATATATGAAAAATCTTAATACACAAGAAAGGAGATGCCAAGGACTTGAAAAATTACAGGCCAATCAGCTTGCTTTCCATTGTATACAAGCCATTTACAAAGGTAATTGCTAAGAAAATTAAGGCAACATCAGAATTCAATCAACCACGGGAACAAGCAGGATTTCGAACAGGCTATTCAGCAATCAACCACATTCATACTATCAATCAGGTAATAGAAAAATTCTCAGAATACAGCCAACCACTATACATAGCCTTCATAGATTACGAGACGGGGTTTGATTCAGCAGAAGTATCAGCAATCGTGCAGACACTGCGAAATCAGGGCATCTACGAAGCATATATAAACATCCTGGAAGAAATCTACAGGGAATAAACTGCTACCATAGTGCTTCATAAAGAAAGAAACATAATACCAATCAAGAAGGGTGTATGGCAGGAGGATGCAATTTCCCCAATGCTATTTACCATGTGCTTACAGGAGGTTTTCAGAGGCCTTTAATGAGAAGAGTTAGGAATAAAGTTTAATAAAGAGTACCTTAATAATCTGAGCTTCGCCGATGACATTGCATAGCTGAGTAACTCAGAGGACGAATTGCAACTCATGATTACGAAATAGTCAAGGAGAGCAGAAAGGTAGGTCTTAAATTTAATCTGCAGAAAACGAAAGTAATGTACAACAACCTCGGAAGAGAACAGCGCTTCGAGATAGGTAATAGTGCACTAGAAGTTGTAAAAAAACTATGTCTACTTAAGACAGGTAATAACCGCGGAGCCAAAACACAAGATTGAAGTAACTAAAAGAATCAGAATGGGGTGGAGCACATTTGACAAGCACTCTCTAATCTTGACAGGTAGACTGCCACTATCCCTCAAGAGGAAGGTACATAACAGCTGCATCTTGCCGGTACTTAGCTACGGAGCAGAGACCTGGAGACTTACAAAGAGGGTTCAGCTTAAATTGAGGACCACCCAGCGAGTAATGGAAAGAAAAATGGTAGGTGTAACCTTGAGAAACAAGAAGAGAGCAGAGTGGATCAAGGAACAAACCGGGGTTAAGGATATCATAGTTGAAATCAAGAAGAGAAAATGAACATGGGCTGAGCATGTAGCACGTAGACAGGATAACCCCTAGTCATTAAGGGTACCTAACAGGATTCCCAGAGAAGGCAAGCGGGTTAGGGGGAGACAGAAAGTTAGATGGACAGATGAGATTAAGAAGTTTGTGGGTATAAAATGGCAGCAGCAAGTAAAGGACCGAGTTGACTGGCGGAACATGTGAGAGGCCTTTGTCCTGCATTGAACGTAGTCAAGCTGATGATGATGAAGATGATGAAAAATTTGATATAAAAATACAGGCCCAGAGTGCTCACCTGTAGCAGATCATCACATACAACAGGTGCATTCACGAATGACAACTAATTCCGCACACACGCCGCAACAGAATGATCTATTTGCGTGAAAAAATCACTTATCTTAGCCTGCTTCGTATTTGAAATGTTGAAGACACTAGTCTAGATCTTACCAAGGCTGTCCAGGTGCGATAGCCTGGTTCACTTCATGTGGCTGATACAACAGAGAATGACGCCGAACATTGCCGCCACTTCGGATGCGGAGTATGCGCGTGTAGCCAGCGCCTCGTCTGGACAATCCTCCTCGTCACAAGAGCTGTCGGCTTGGGCATCCAGAGTCCCTGCGATCGCAGCTACTATGTCCTCATCAGCAAAGCTCGCAATGGCCTGGACATTGCAGTCCCGCAGTTCGCTTCCACGAAATCGTCCGCGGACACTTCGTGTGGAACTGCTGCCGGGAAGCAGGACGACAAGTCCCGAAACTCGCGAAACGCATTGTCTATGCGCTCGCTTTCTTCACCGGTATCCACAAGTTCCGCCGTCTCAAAGCCTGCCTTGCGTAAGCAGCTGACCATTGTGTCTGTCTTCACGTCTCGCCAGGAAATAAAGATCTCTGCGGCAAAAAACTTAGCAGAGATTTCCGGCCACTCCTTCGCCATCCACTGCTGAATGTCCTGGCTGCTGACAGTTTCGCTTTCGGCATAAATGGTTTTGGCAACGTTGTTGCAGCTTTGCTTAAATCCGTGAAGCCACCCGATTTTGTCAGCGAAGTTGTTTCACCAAGTGCAGCGACAAACCACTTGGCCTTCAGGATCAGCATTATGCCATCCACCAGAATGTTCTTTGCGCGCACTTCCAAAAATCAAGCATAGAGTGCCTTTTTTACATTCCCGTGGGCAGGAGAATGCACATGACAGGCTCCCGAAGTTCACTGCTTCACTGACTTTCCTTGATATATCTGCTTTGTTCTTCAACAAGGTACGCAGAGTTGTCCGTGATATTTCAAAGTCGTCCGTAACGGCTGAATATTCCTTGCCCGCCTCAACACGCTGAATAGCCTTCAACTTCGTCGCAGTCAAGGGTCTTGCACTTTTTGATGCTCGCCATAGCTACACGAAAAGTCGACAATTCAAGGAGTCTGCAGTGGCTTTGCACACCACGCAAGCAAAAGAGAAATGATGTGCACATGCAGGGGTATGTAGTGGTGGTAGTGCTTAGAAGAGGAAGAAGGCGCCTAATTTCTGCAGCCCAGTAGGGAGCACGGTGCAGCGCCTGTGGTACGTAGGGGACGCGCGAACGAAAGCAACACAGCGCTCGTGAGGTGATGGCCATATCCGAGAGCAACAGTAAAAGGCACGAGCTGTGGTTGGGTGGTCAAAACTCGCAAAACAGCAATAAAAAATAAAAGAAAAGACAAAAGGAGGAGGACGTCGGCTTCTTCCTTCCTGTCGACAGGTACACCGAGAAAGAATGGGAGAGAAAAAAAGAAAAGAAAAAAAAAAGCCGTTCCGCAATTTAGAGA